CTAGTTTTATGACCGCGGTCTGTAAATAATCGTGTCTGGACCAGACAATCCAGTGTTTGAAATCATGAGCATCGATCTACGCATTTGGGATGAGATGACATGCATCTCCCAAGTCAGCAAGAATGACCACCCGATCCCGTTAGTCGCCTCTTACGACAAGTATAGTCCGCGGTTTGTAAATAATCGTGTCTTGACCAGACAATCCAGTGAATGACATCATGAGCATCGATCTACGCATTTGGGATGAGATGACATGCATCAACCAAGTCAGCAACAATGACCACCCGAGCCCGTTAGTCGCCTCTTACGACAAGCATAGTCGCCTTTTATGGCAAGGGTGGGTTTCTGAAGACCCTTCTACCCTGGATCTTCACGGGTCTCCTTCTGACTCGGGTTCTCAGGGCACATGGAAGTGGAGTTATTGTGCTGCGTAGCTTATAGTTCAATCAGACCACGATTAACCAAACACAAACTATGTCCATGAGATTAAAAGGGACACTCCCAGCGCCGTTACTGTTGGGCGTGTGTTTGATAGTGATTCCTAAACAAAATCTCCCGGAGGCAAGGAGTGGAAACTGTTACAGTCAGTTATCTTGCCTCGGGATGCCTACACATCATTTCTTTACATTATGGAAATGGTTTGTGTCGCTGTTATGTATTTTCATTGTCACATATTTGTATCTGATTTAAGACAGGTACAGTAAACTACAGTTATAACGAACTCAAAGGGACTGCTAATTTTAGTTCGTTATAACCGTAGTTCGTTATATGTACATATACAGCATGACTACAGCAAGTAGTCGGGACCAAAAAGTACGTTTACATTTTTGGGTGTAGCCCACGAGCACGGGTATGGTGCTGACAAACCTAGAAACATAATTCGGGCGAACCAGGATACGAACCCACAATCTCAGGTTTCCTGAGACCCAAGGGACGCAACTCTGTACAGCGATTTGCGGCGCCTCAAACGACTAGGCCACCCGTGCGCTCTGCGGATTAAAAGTATAATTAAAACAAACACACATGTCAATCAATTGCATTTTCAAATTGTCTGATACGTTAAATAAAGACGCTTTTTTAAGCTGGGTCAGCTATATACCAGTGACAGAGCCTCGCAAGTTACTATTGTTGTTATTGTGTTAAATTGGTTCAGCTGTGCTTAAGTATTATTCCATGAGATGTAGCTGAAGGATGGTCCTAGTTGGAATAGGGCGAAATGGAAGCTTGTCTGAGGCGACTTTCTGTGTGGTCAGACTCGGTGATAGCGTGCCGTCGTACCCCGACGGCGTGGGACGGTGCTCATTACATCAATCACCTGTTTGTCTGGTCAAGACACAATCATTTAAAAGGCATCTTGATATAGCTGGAACACTGCTGAATGCGGCGTTAAACTACAATCAAGAAAGTAAGCTTGTGATTTTGTTATTGCTAAAACTGCGTAAACTCCGATTCAGAATTTTTATTTCAAGCGTATCCTGCATCGTATCATCTTTCATCGTGCATCAACACGCAGTTACATTGTAACATGTAGGATTCGCTACACACCGTTACATTGTAACATGTAGGATTCGCTACTCACCCTTAACTTGTAACATTGAGGATTCGCTGCGCCACTAATGCTCTCGTCTACAGCCAACAACTGGACCCTGCTCGTCGTCTTATCAACAGATCTTGCGGCAACTAGATCTTCAGATCTCCTGCACTGTTGATAACTTTATATCAGCTGGGTTAATTGGTCGGTCTTGCTACAGTTAATGAGGCTATCTTGATGTGGATAATGAGGCTTTCTGGGTGTAGTTGATGAAGGTATGTGAATGAGGACTTGAAAAACACTGAGTTATTAGTGTGGCGTAGATTTGAGCAAGGTAGGGTAATGAGGAAAGCTAGTCAAATTGAACCACCAAATATACAGACGGTCCACGGTATCTCGAACCGTAGTGACCGTGGTGTAACTTCGATACATCCAGATATTCGAGATAGCGAGATAAGGACAGCCAGAGCGATCAAGTAACAATATAATAGATCCATATCAATAAGATTGCACACACGAGGAATTAAGAACACACCCTTAAAAGAAATGCTCATTTGCGCTTCCCAAAACTGATAAGGCGGCAATGCATGAATTCAAAGTTGAGACCAAGGTGCCAGATAGGACCACGTATTGTTATCTCGAATTCGAGTTAAGCGGTAAAATGTATATGCATTTATATAGTGAGGGGGTCTGGACCGGGAGGAGGGTGTACCGCCAACTGGGCGTCGACAGATAGTTTGCAAATCCTTTCATGTTTTTAATCAAGGCTCACATGATTTGATGCACTTCGCCGGGTAAGACCCTTTTTTATTACAATATAGAAATTGATTAACGATCAGATCATTTTGACTGGGCGCCGCCATTTCGTTTGAAGCAAATGCAAGTGATATGAGAGATGGAATCTGATTGGTCAATGGGAGGGAGGCAGAAGGGGCATAACTCGTAATAGCCCCTTCTGGCGCTACCATATCGAGCTGGAAATTCCAGCCTTGTTCGGCAAGGGTGGAAACTGGACTTTTACAGTCAATTAACGAATCGAATCGATTTGTTTTAGGGATTTTGTCTGATTTTGCCAGCAACACAAACTGACCTACCTTTCAGACGAATCGTGGAGGTTAGTAAACATGGCGGTTATTGTGTTTCCTCATCACACTGAATACCCGGGCTCGACCCCCCTCATATGAAAATAGATACGATCCTTATGTCTAAATTGATCTGAAACGTTTTCATATGATACATGAAAAACGAGCTCCACACAGATTGTGGAATATGTGTGACCTTTACAACATGAATAGCAGGCCAATATGTGCCCTTGTTAAACTAGGTATTTTACCCATAACAACTGGTGTATGTATGATGTGTGTAGCAGGCCAATATATGCCCTAGTTAAACTAGGTATTTTACCTATAACAACTGGTATATGTATGATGTGTGTAGCAGGCCAATATATGCCCTAGTTAAACTAGGTATTTTACCTATAACAACTGGTGTATGTATGATGTGTGTAGCAGGCCAATATATGCCCTAGTTAAACTAGGTATTTTACCTATAACAACTGGTGTATGTATGATGTGTGAAGCAGGCCAAGATATGCCCTAGTTAAACTAGGTATTTTACCCATAACAACTGGTGTATGTATGATGTGTGTAGCAGGCCAATATATGCCCCAGTTAAACTAGGTATTTTACCCATAACAACTGGTGTATGTATGATGTGTGAAGCAGGCCAATATATGCCCTAGTTAAACTAGGTATTTTACCCATAACAACTGGTGTATGTATGATGTGTGAAGCAGGCCAATATATGCCCTAGTTAAACTAGGTAACTGTTTGATTTACTGTGCCTTAACCAGTATCTTAGAATAGAAGATTGTACAGACAACGAAGTGAGAGTTGTGACACTTCTTGGTGGCATTACGCATCTTGTAGAGGAGATGACACTAGACACATGAGCTCATTTCTTATGCACAGTCAGCAGAGAAATAAGCTCATGGTAGCTGACGTCTATTCTCTATCTGTAACCTGACTATATGCATATCTGTTATCATGCATGTACATACTGATTAATTACTCTCCGATACTAATGGTGGAAATAAAAATTATTCATTCATACACACATACACGCAGGGATGCTCGCACGCACGCACGAACGCGCGCACACACACACGTACGTACGTCCATCCATCCATCCATCCACACACACACACACACACACACACACACACACACACACACACACACACACACACACACACACACACACACACACACACACACACACACACACACACACACATACATACATACATACATACATACATACATACATTTCGTGTAATCAGTACTTGAATTGTACCTCTATAGTCACCGCTAGCGACCTGGGTGTAAATAAAGTTCCGTTTATTCAGGTAAACAACGGGAAAGTTCCTGACTGCGGTCAGGGGGTCCTGTAAACAGCGGTTATTTAGGTCCGTATTGCGGCGTTAGACAATACTCACTCCCATGTGTCGTACAGTTTTTCATAAAGCCACTTCAAGTAAAGGTTACGTCTTCTCAGCGATCGTGTTTATATATATAGATAAGGTCAATGTTTACTTGGATGATATGAACATTCCACTGACACGTAGTCATCGTTCCATCTTTATGTCTATCTCCGTCTAGATCGTAACCAGGCCCCCATAATGGCTGTTTTATATGCTGGTAATTAGCATGTGATTCGAGGGGTGTAAAGTAATCACGGAGAGAGCGGATATATCGCACCTACTTCTACTCACTTGTAATGTGTGTTTGAGATGATGTGATAGACGGCTCGGGGAACACAGTCAGACATACCGCTAATAAATGACAAGTACCAACAGTGAGGACGTATCCGTCAGCATAGATCTACCAGCCAATGTTTTGATGGGTGGGCGAGTGATGGAGTGAGTGAGTGGTTGGTAGGGTGGTTGGGTTTGAGTGAGTGAGTGAGTTGTGTGGGTATTCCGGGTTAGAATATGTCCCCAGTAAGAGATGTCAGGTTTATGGCTTGTCATCGTGCCCCGATAGCAAGGGACGTTACTCTAATATCAATCACTGGTTTGTCTGGTCCATTTTCGGTAAATGACAGGTCGCCGTTATATAGTTCGATGGTGTGGCAAGACATAACATTTAAATAAACCTTCTTAGTAATACAATAGGAATTCAATATAGTCTTTCTTAAGATATTGTGAGATTTTCCTCAAAGTTGATGTCCAATTTATTTTTCAAAAATCGAATAAAGGCTGTCAAGGAAAAAATAAAAAAAAAATAAAAAAAATAACGTCAATAACACCTCAGTTACAAGTGGTTCGTCCAGTGGTTTGGTGTTTCTTACCCAATGAATGACCCTGCTACATACACTTCCGGGTCATAAATTAGTTCCCAGGATCCTGTAATCAGCTCAGACTATGATAAGCTACCTTTCGTTTAAATGTCAACCACACGGAAACACGTAATTTTGAAACTTTATTGATATAATAAAAACAAATAATACATGAAGCTCTTTGAAATAGAAAAGGAAGTTGGAGTATTTGGTAATTAATTACAACATTAATATCCAAACATGCCAGAAATAGACACAAGACATTATACCCGAAAGAAAACAAAGGTATGACGTCAGCATTAACCACGGATGACGAGAGTCTAATTTCGGATCCTCCACAAAAACAGTCCACCACACCGGCGTAATCCATCCCGAGGTGCAGCATGGGAAACAACTTAGCGTCTAAATGTCGGTGTTTTTCTGCCCAAAGAGCTGGGCACTTGTCGATTGACTATTTATTGTGTTATGCTAAATAAATAGTTCTTTTTGAGATCCTTCCGCCTGAGAAATGGGAGTGAACAGAATGGTGAGTAGAGCCACACAGCGCAGGGGAGAAACTACAGCCGAGAACTGAAGATCTGAAACAAGAAATGTGTACTTTGAGTTACGATACAGGTTGATCTATGGCATCGACAAATTCCAATTCCAGGAATCAGGAAGTAATAAGAATTGACATCAATATTTGGTTCATTTATGCGAAATTGTTTGGTTAGACATACAAAGGTCACGTCATTACTGGCAATTTAAGAATTGTTTTCAATATGTGTGTGTTAACGTGAAAACCGGGCAGGGGATTTGCGTGTGCACACCACGTTTAAGAATACCTCCATAAACGCAAGGACATATTGAAGCTAAATCGTATGACAACTTAAGTCATGAATAATACATTCACAATTATCATATGTCATAAATTCATAATTAATCATCAAGACACACACGCGCGCGCACGCACACACACACACTGTCGTTTAAAAAAACCTATAAACGAAGGAAGCAAAATATGATGCAACACATCGTAAACATGCTATCGTGAACTACTATTGGTTGTCCTAGTGGACACAGTAGTCAAGTATCCCGGGGACCTATTCTAACCAGGAATACTCACGGGACATGCTATCGTAAACTACTATTGGTTGTCCTGGTGGACACAGCTGTCAAGTATCCCGGGGACCTATTCTTACCAAGAATACCCATGGGGCATGTTATCGTAAACTACTATTGGTTGTCCTAGTGGACACAGAAGTCATTAGGACAAGCTGCTGGGCCCCTTGTCACACAACGCGATCGTAGCGCTACGAGAGTCGTAAGTCGATGTTAAAGTATGGGAGTTACGATCACCTCAGCGCGACAATCGCTCAATAGACCGGTGTCCTGAGGTACCTATTCTAACCCGGAATGTCCAGGGGACACGCCATCTAACACTACTATTGGCTATCCTAGTGGGAACATAAGTCATTTAATGGGGCGGTGGGGTAACCTAGCGGTTAAAGCGTTCACTTGAGCTCGATTCCCGACAGGGTTACAATGTGTAAAGCCCATTTCTGGTGTCCCCCGCCGTGATGTTGCTGGAATATATTAGCTTTGTTAGTCAATTTGCAATTGTGGTCACCTGCAATAAATTTGTTCTGAAATATTGTTAAGACAGTTTTCAACGATGTGAAGAACGAAATTCAGAGCAGGTGTCTATCTCAAACTGTGGCAAGATCCACTTTAGCTTCACACCAATGGGTGGTCGATAATATAGGCGAAGGCCGGGGGTTCGATCCCCAGCCGCATCATACAAAAGGTGGTTAAACGATGGTACTTTTTGTTACCCAGCCTGGCGCTCGTCATTAAGGAGCTAAAATAAAGACTGGTCGGCTCGGAGTCAATATACTGTCTCTCAGAGGGGTATTCCTGTTGAACTGCGGCATGGTATCTCAGTGCGCTAGCACTATAAAACTGGCACCAGTATAAACAAACACGTGTGTCGCTGTATAAGTGCAACAATCTTAATAGCTGAACGCGACGTAAACCCAATTTCACCTCACCTCACCAAACCTGATAATATAAGTAGTAATTAAGTAGCATAAGGAACTACTTGTTTCTAATCAGTGTATTTGAAGGTGGAATCTTTCACCGACGATCTCAACGATGTTTCTTTACAAATTCTGTATCTTAATGTAATGTGCTTGACGAGAACACGAGGACATAACCGTGAGTGTTTAACGGAGAATGTTTATAAGAAAGCAGTTCCCGGTGAAAATGTCCAGATCGGAACAAGGCGGTGGGGAATGGCGCATGGGTGTGCATCCTTCCAATTCCAAACAGGGGACATGGGTGGCCCAGTTGTCTAAGGCGCCGCGATTCGCTGTGCAGAGTTGCGTCCCTTGGGCACGCCAGAAACCTATGATTGTGGGTTCGAATCCCGGTTCGCCCCGATTATGTGTCTAGGTTTGTCAGCACCATACCCGTGCTCGTGGGTTTCACCAAAGTGGTAAACGTCCGAGACCTGCATCACTTCGGGCTTTCCTCCCACATTAAGCTGACACGCCGTGATATAACTGGAATACTGTTAAAAGCGGCGTTAAACACAACTCAACTCAATTCCAAACAATTACTAAACAACTATATATTCGGAAGATATATACGTGATCGGTAAACTGCGAACGTATTTCAACACTATAACTCTTTTGGTTATACATTTCCTGCAGAAATACACGATTATTCAGCAAGAATCGACAAATTAACATATCACGGCTGTATGCGTGCTTGTGGATTAACAGTGAGTGAGTGAGTGGGTATAGTTTTACGTCGTTATTAGCAATATATCAGCAATATCACGCGGGGCACACTCTCTACTCATGTGGGGAATCGAACCCGGGCCCTCGGCGTGACGAGCGAACGCGTTAACCACTAGGCTACCTCATAGCCCCTATTGATTAACAAGTATCCGGATTAACGAATAATGATGTAGTTTTCCTCCGGAATGCGGTGTGTCTGTATTAACTATGTTCCACAGTAAAATATCTTCAATGATGAAGGCACATGCAGGTGAGGCTATTGGAATGGCAATCACCTATACAGGGGAGGCTACTAGAATGGCCTTGTCCTATACAGGGGAGGCTACCGGAATGTCAATGTCTTGTACAGGTTGTACATCAGCGCCGTCGGATTCTCAATAATGACGTTGGAGTCCCTGCTTCTTCATCTTGAACTACTCACGCGGAGCTGATTTACAGATGGAGACGATACTTAGATGTTGAATATGCGAAATGCCAAATGTATCTTCCATATCTGTGTTGAATTGGCCAACCCACACACACAGCTTTGACCACAACCCTCGTGATGACGTGGGGGGTTTGCAGGTTTGTATCGCACGAGGTCGCCATGACTGGGCCCGAGTTGGTGTTTCTCAGACGCCATTGGAAAGACTGGTTTACGAATACTTCACCCTGTTTATCCTCTCAATTATCCATAAATACCAAGGTATGGACGCCATCATGCCTTACCGCTCCGTGTGTTGCGGCATCTGATAGACGCCCACTGCATAACGCTACACCCCATAAGCGTTTAATTCCTCACGAACGCTACCTTTAATCGATAACGCTACCCCTATTTCAGCGTTAACCCATCTCCAACTACCCCAAATCGATAACGCTACCCCTATTTCAGCGTTAACCAATCATCAACTACCCCAAATCGATAACGCTACCCCTATTTCAGCGTTAACCCATCACCAACTACCCTAAATCGATAATGCTACCCCTATTTCAGCGGTAACCCATCATCAACTACCCCAACTACCCGATAAGGCTACCCATCGTTAACCCCCGACGAACGCTACTCCCACTCGATAACGCCACGCCCACAGGTACGTTACCTTTACTCGATAACCTCACACGAACCAACCACCTAGACATGCACAACTCTCTAAGGCAATAATTTTTAGCTTAAATCTTAAGTTCTAGATTATGTATATACTATGAACAAGTTGTCCATATAAGAGACTAAAGTACTGTCCACATATCTAGACTTGCCCATTGGGGGGGATAGAGTTACTAAACATCCAGGGACTTTTCTTTCCGTACATCCTTGTGGCAAAGCTAGCAACCACCACTCGGTAACGCTACAGTCATGTAACTGCTACCCCTACTCGATAACGTTACCCGACACGAACGCTACCACGAATCGAAAACAGGACCCATCTCGAAAACGACACAGACAAACAATCCATACCTTACTCGATAATGCTCCTTTCACTGAATATCGCTACCCCAGCACGAACTCTAACTCCTAACGAACGCTCCCCACACACGAACGCTACCCTACACAAGTGATATAAAAGTTTGCTCGAACCTCGGTAACCCGACCCTCGTTTATCCGGTCAAACTCACAACACCATGACAACGGAACGTAATAATTTCATTCAACGAATTGTTTAGTCGCGAGACGCGACACTCAGAAAATTTATAAAAAAAACTAATACAAACTGGCTGCGCATTTTTGCAATACACATCTTGTAGCTATTCACTGAGAAAATACGTACTGAGGCCAATGCCACACCCCTAGACTGATATTCTAAAACAAATGGAAACAATGTGCCTCAAGAAAAGCAATACTGCCACGCCCACTTATCAATTGATGCAACACTTCTACACCCATACATCAAAAGGCAAGGTGAGTTACTCCACACATTCTCCTTTAAAGGTTAACAAAATGGAATATAAAAATATGACACATGCTTAAAATTCCATCGACGGGGAGAGCACTAAACCGGTAGCTGTGTCGGTATATTTTCCTATGTAATGGTTCTCGCGTTATCCACTAGGGCTATTTGTACAATAAACTCCACGAGGAGGAGCGACCGAAATAACGCATAGATTACATCTCAGCACATTTAGGAGACAAAAAAACATTTCATTGAGTCAAAGTAGAACGTTATCTGAGGATGTGAAAAAACACGCGCTGCTCCTGAGCCGAGCACCCACTGGCCGACCCCACGGAGCCAGCCCCTCTCCTACAGGTAATGAACCGTTAACCAGACGTTCCAATAGACCTGCCTTTAAGAAATCCGGGGGGAAATTCCCCAAATAAATGGAAATTCCTCTCGTTGGAATCGATATTATATGTTTCGATTATGGTTCGATCCCGTGATTATTTTATCTTTAACATCAAGGCACAAACTCTACCGCAAGAATAGAGAGCTTGACATTTGTAGGACTTCGTTTGTATGACAAAATGGGCATTAATACCCCCCGTTCTGTTCAGGGAGTATGGCTGCAGGGAAAACACCTTATTCGGCCAGACGAGAGGTGAAAAAAGGTAGAATGTTCATTTACAGCTGCGAGACACTGTGCTGTATATGTTCGGTGCCCCCAGTCGCGGTGATATTGCGGTCTGTTTATTTTGGGAAGCGACAATTGCTATAGCAGCTTGAATGTTAAAAAGGAGGAAGTGAGGTGGGAAGTAGTTGCATAAACAGCGAGAACCTGGGATTCCTGGGAAATAGTTGCATAAACAGCGAGAACACGCACTCTGGATCAGTCCAGACTGCCGTAGATTGCCACTGTTGTCTACACAATTGAGCAAACGAGCA